TGAAACATTCAAAGGCACGAGAATTAGATTTATTTTGAATAAAAAATTCATTTTGGGCAATTCTTGTGGTAGTGTCTAACCTTCTTGCATAAATGACATCTGTCATTTCTAAGTTCCATCTTGTGGATTCGTTCACATTATGCAATCCTTTCTTTATGTTCTTTTCATGCTTTCTTTTATGATTATTTCAAGCTTTTTGATGACTAGAATAAGCCGCTTGATTCTTAAGTCATGTCTCTTCTTGAGACAAATATAATGATCAACTCATGAACACTTAACTTGTCCTTAATAGTGTTATAGTGCATTGAAATAACTCATATTGTTGAGGAGGTTAAGGAATTATGTATTAATTGTAATAAAAATTACTCATCCACATTTATTCCTAGAGCCTTTAATTTTGCTACTAAATTTATAATTTTAAGAACAATCTCATGTATGGTATGAGAACCATCAAATTTCATGGTGGTTAATTTGCTCATTAATGTATCTGTAAGAGATTTATTAGTAGTTTAAGAATCCTCTTCTATGAATATCATTAATTTCTTAGCACTATTAGTTTTGAGAAGAGTAGACTTGATGTTATTTGCAACCATCATTTTCATAAACATTAAGCTTAATATATTTGATCATTCCCAAATTTTATAGAAGTTATTTTCTTCATCACTACTAGTATCATTAATAACATTGGGCTTCTCAGAGTGTCAAATGAAGATATAAAACAACTAGGTAAAACTGGAGTTGTTCACACCAATCATGCAGAAAGTTTAATTCCTTAAATAAAAAAACTAGTGAAGGATACAAATGAAAGGACACAAGAAGAGATACTAGAAAAAAATATGAGAAAATGCTCTCACATTAATGCTTTAAGCATAAACTGTTAGGAACGAGTCGACACTAAATGAGGGGGTAGGGCGGTGAATTAGTGCAGCGCTAAAAGTTATATTTCTGAAATTCTTCGTACGTTGAAAATCGATTCTGGAAATATGCTTAGATTGAAAGCGTACGGAAGAGCACAGCAAGTAATGAGAAGGTAGTTTATAATTTAAAATAAATTGCTCAAAGTAAAGGTAAACCATATTTTTATAGTAGTTCGGTCATCGTGACCTACATCCACTCCACCGATTCCTCTTCCGTCGAGGCCACCAACATCCACTATCGGTCTTTCTTCAATAGACGAAGACCAACCACCTTTTACAACTTGATTCTCCTTTTACCGGGTTTAGAAGATAACCCTTACACCCTCACTTACTCCTCTCTTATTTCCTTTTTGCTTTAGGTTGTGTGTATATTATCTAAGGATGAGAGGGGTATTTATAAACCTCAAAGTTGATTCAAACTTGAAGCCTAAAAATATTTCATCCCGAGTTTCCTAGGTTCGGGCGGTACCATCGCCTGTACTAGGCGGTACCACCGCCAGTGTCAGTCTAACATTGACACTACATTAGGCGGTACCACCGCTTGGGCGGTTGTGCTACGCGGTACTATCGCCCAGACTAGTGGTACCACCGCCTGCAGTCTCTCGGAGGCTATGTTTGGGCGGTATCATTGCCCAAACCGATGGTACCATCGCCTGACACAGTCTCAGAGATTGTGTCACGACGGTGCCACATCTTGGGTCACTGTTTAGGCCTTTCATTGGGCCCAACACAATCCTTACATGGGCCCAATTGGCCCATAATTGGGTTGGCCCAAATTCAATCCTAATTATATGCTAACTATAAAATGTAAGACATTTATTAAGCTAAACAAGTCCTATGAGTCAAGTTTTCTTCCGACGAGCTTCCGGTGATCTTCCGACAAACTTTTGATGATCTCTCAATAATATTCCAATAGACTCCTAGCAAGCTCCTGGAGTTCACGACAATCTACTTAGCAAGTTCCGATAAGCTTCTCTGGTAAGCTCTGAGACTTCTCGACTAGTTCTTATAGAACTTTCGACGAATATCCAGACTTCCGACGAACTCTCGAACTCCCAATGAAATCGCGTTCTTGATTCCAGGACTCCATTTTGCTTTATGCATTGCTATCGTAGTTAATCCTACATATGTAAAATTATACTTTGATCTAGACAATTAATACTAAGCATGAATCATGTTGTTTGGCATGTCATTGGTCCATCGACGCTTCGTCCGATTCTTCGACGCATCGTCCTCTTTTGCGACCTATTGCCCAATCGGTCAGTTGACTCCGCAACCCCGATATCCTTAGCGCAATATCCATTCTTCTTGGTCCGATGCTCGAATCAATGGCCCAAGCCTTCTATCGATACGTCGATCGATTCTTCGGCTCGACGTCCAATCTTCTTACATATTCCACCGGCCTAACATGATTTTTCCTACTTTAATTGTCTCATCCTGATCGAAGCATCCTGTGTTACTAAAAACACAGATTAAATCATAAACACTTATCAATTGATTTTATCATCAAAATATAAGATTCAACAGAAACATCATTATATAAATCAGACTTGCAGATAAACTATAAATGCATATCAAAGTTCTCCTTCAGTTAAAACTAAGATATATAATCATAATGATGCTTCTCATTGTTTCACTTTACTTTATAATTGAATATATTCAAACAAGATATATTTGCTATCTTTGGGTACATAAAATAATCTAATGGAATATATTAATTATCATATTTATGTTCATTAGTTACAAGAATCATAGATCAATCTTTGGGTATAAACTATGAATATCAGTATATTTATTATAAAGTTTACCATCATGTCATTTTCATTCAAAAGCATCAACTAATCATGGTTAATTAATTTATAAATTTTATGTAATTGGTATATATGTGATGTTAATGTTCTTTTTATTATAATATGACTAATAGTCATCCATTTCATAAAAAAATAAAAACAGTAAATCATGGGTTTCATGAAAGGTTACAATCTAAACAAACTCAAATTCAACTGTTAATGAATCAACATAAAATAATGGAATAATAATTTTATTTGATAATAAGAGAAATATAATTTAATAATAAAAAATAAATCCTAAACCACATGTAAACAACTAAATTCATATAGAAAATAAGACATCATGGTGGACAACATAAATCTCATAATCTTTAGGGTTAGTGATTTTGTTAAATTAACTTTAACTAAAAATATATACCTTGATCCATCAATACATGCTTTAAGGGATCTTCTGGGGAAATCCCAATTTCTTGAAAGAAATTTTGGTTCCTAATCTATGGATGATAGAGAGGACCAAGTTCTGAATTTATAGCGATAGAATGAATATTTTTTTATCAAGACATTAATTTAAAATTAATATATATCCAATATCCAAGAAACACTTATCCAAGATTCACATCATTTATTATTAAGAGATATGATAATTTAAATCAAGTTTATCTTCCTCACTAACCAATACAATTTAAGCTATTTATTAAATCATCATTAAATATTACAAGAACCAAAAAAAAAAAAATCATGTGGGTCACATTAATTCTAACATGAGGATGATATACCTAGATTTGGGGCTAGAGTTAGGATGGAAGAGTTCAACTAAGTTTTGGATTCAAAAGAAACCTCTCATATTGAGAGGGCCTTCAAAACAAGTTTTTGACTATATCTCCGGACTTTCAAGATTACGCAAGAAAGTTGTAGTTGATTAAAGGTGAATTCCTAGTGAGTGCAAGCCTATCCAATCCGAACTTCAATAATTGAGATGAGGATAACAAACTTAGATTTGGAGTTAAAGAGTCGGGTCAAGGAGTTCAACTAAGTTTTCAAGTTCAAAACAAGCCTCTCACATTTAGAGGACAATGAAAGCAAATTTTCTATTCAAACTTGGTCAAGATTGCATATGGCATGTGAAGAAATACTTTGGGACTCGAGTGTACTTAGTAACAATGTATGTTTCATAGGTTGTGACGTATCATCACCATAAGTATATAATATGCTCTTTTCAACACTCTTAAAAGACGATTCCATTGGTGACTAGCTATTTTCACTTTTTACTAACATACGTAGATAAGATAACAGTAACTATTTTTATTTTGTATACGAGGAACCCCAATATGTAAATATAATGAGAATTTAATTTCGTTAATATCGTATGATAAATAGTGTGGAGTTTTAACTTTTCAAATATATATATATATATATATATATATATATATATATATATATATATATATATATATATATATATATATATATATCCACTCTTCATGACTTTGTTTTTAATATTTGACTTCAATAATGTTCGAGCTTATATCATGAATGTACCACTTGAGATCTATCATCAATAATTCCAACGGTAGGTGGATATCGCCCATTACCTAAACTAGTCGCCTGTCAAATATGGGTTATAGACTTTGGTTTCAAATCGAGTGGAACGAGTCTTATTTCCTTATGAGAAGGATTGAACCTACGATAGAGCTAATGATTAATTGTCTCGATCAAGACTGACCGACTGAATTTTTAAATCCTCATGCACGTAACGAGTTTGATTAGGTGCATGAGCTCCTTCCTTGTAGATACAGAGAAGCATGATGATCCATTTCAACGAAAGTTGAGAGAAGCAGACAACCGTGGATCATTTCAGATGGTCATCTGACTTGCATCGTCCTCCTATTCGACACTCAAAGCATCTGTTGGGTGAATCGAACAGCACGAAATCCAATCGACTTTCTCGTTTGAATACATTGTATGATTCGACAAAAGGTAGGTGCGAGTCAACTCACCCCGATCGCACAGCCATCCCACCAATTTGTGTTTGTGTGATGTGAATGTCACATCCATCCGTCACTATCCGTACCCAAAACATGGCTCACTTTATCTCTCCCCCACTCTTATCCTCACGCCCCCACGGAAAGTAGCAGTACGAACAAATCAACGCCCGCCAAAGGAAACGGAGAGAGCAGCCAACAAGGAAACGAGTTGGAGGGGAAACGTCTCCGAAAGCGCCACCTCGACCACCACCGACGGTGCGGTCACCGCAACCATCGACTTTCTTTTTCTCCGCCACTGCTGCGAACGTGGCGACCCCTCATGCCTCGGGGATTTCCACGGGGTGTCCACCATATAAAATGAGAGGGCTGAGGAGGGTGGACCAGCCGCCGAAGTCCTGTACGATCGGTGGTGGGGAGTTCTTCTCTGACGCTGGTTTAAGGAAGGAAGGAAATATAAATGGTTTCTGAGAGTTGGTATCGGAGGATTAGGGCCTGGTTCAGTTGACGAAGCAGTTCTTATAGAGGGGCTGCGCGGATCGCAGGTCGAGGTACTTAATCTTGTGGTTTTCTTCTACTGTAAGTTTTTCTTCCGATGCCTACTGCTTTTGGATCCGGCGGCGAGAATCGGATTCGAATTTGAGCACTTCACTTCTTGCATCCTTTGTATATACATCTATATGCATTTAATACTAACTAACTTTTTGGTTTTCTTTCTGGAGATAGGCTATACCAAGTTTCAGGATCAAGAGAAGGCAGTTTGACGGAGAAAAAAGAAGAAAAAAAAAAGTGAGAGATAGGTTTTGGTGTGACTTGAGTGCGGGAGATGGAGATTTTTAGCAAGGAAAGAGTTTAATGAATTATTTCTTCGCTCGGAGTATATTATTTGAAGGGAAGGATTGTTCTTCCCGAATCGATAAGTGAAATCGAAGGAAAATGAGGCAACGGTGAGTTAAAGAATCTTTGTTGAATAGAGAGAAAAAGGTGCGATTTCTTTTAATACCGCTCTACTGGGAAGTGAGGGTTTTGTGGCTGTGCTTGCAAAAACATGAGCTGTGTCGACGACTGTAGAGACGGCAGAAGAGAAGAAGCAGAGTTCTGGCGTCCAGGTGGGATCAAAGTAGTGGATGATTCTCTTCAGCTTGATCGGTACTCACTGGGAAACAATGGAACTTTCCCATCTGCACAACTCGATATTGATGAGAAGCATTTGATTGACCCAAAGTTACTTTATATCGGAGCAAAGATTGGAGAGGGAGCTCATGGGAAAGTCTATGAGGGGAAGTAAGTTAAAAGAACTAATAGGATGAATGCCTTCTTTTCTTTCCTTTTTTGTAATTTGAAATCAGGTTTTTGTTTGCCAGATGTCAGTAGATTTATCTATATCAAAATCATCTGAAGTTGACATAGAACGTAATTTGAGTATTTCTGGTTAGTTCAATGTTCTGTGGTGGCCTTAAAAGGAAAAAATAAAAGGAATGTGAATGTAAAAGACAGCAGGTTAAGATTGAATCAGGTCTGCCAACAAACTGAAATTTCCAAGTCAGTTGCTCAAGTAGAAACTTGCATATCAGGCATGACTATGCACAGTAGGTGATGCAATTTTGGCATACAATCTATATACTTTTTTGGAGAACAGTTGCCTGCTAACCAACAATCTTATTGCCACTAAATGGAAAGACACTAAGATTCCAACTATTTTGCTGCCCTTATTGGTCATTGATGCTTTCTAGTTTGAGCATATGCATTATGCTGTTTGATGTTATACTTATACCAGCTGCTTTCGTTCAGGTACTGTGACCAGATAATAGCAATCAAAGTTTTAAATGGCGGCAGTACTCCAGAAGAGACAGCAACTCTTAGAGCTCGTTTTATTCGAGAAGTAAACATGATGTGCAGAGTACAGCATGAGAACCTGGTCAAGGTGAGTTTCTGCTTAATATTACTTAAGTTGTTGATCATGTCTGACATATAGTTTTCAAGACTATGGTGTTGGCCTCCCTATCTCATCCTTAGTTGCACGCGTAAATCTGTTTCAGTGCTCAATTGTGGTTCCTTGTTGTCCTACTTTTTATTCTACCTCAAGTAATTCTCTCTTTCATGAAGTTCTTTGGAGCCTGCAAGGACCCCTTCATGGTGATTGCCACGGAGCTGCTTCCAGGAATGTCATTGAAGAAATATTTGAGCACCATTCGCCCCAAACAACTAGATCTTTATAAAGCAATAAGCTTTGCACTTGATATTGCTCATGCAATGGACTGCTTACATGCTAATGGGATTATACACAGAGATCTGAAACCTGGTTGGTATTTTGTCTTGTTATTTTATTGTTTACAGTACAATTTAAGTAATTTCATTGTTCTTTTTTTTTGTTGTGGCTTGTACAAAATTAATCTACTACCATACAGCACATTTGACTTGAAGGACTAATTACTTTCATCAGCATAACAGTAACAATCACCTGCCTCTAAATTTTTTCTTTTTTCTTTCTGTCCATTTTGTGCTTATCTTTCTAGCTGTATGCATAATTACATGTTGACATGTGTGAATGCACATTTAGGTAAATCATTATGCATGTTTGCATGACATACTACTCCATATATTACTTGCATTGCTCCAACACAAATACACATAAATCATAAAAATGTGCATTGCATAGCATCTGCATATCAACGAATGCTATTCTATCACACCTACTATGCTACATTGAATTGGCATGTTGGTCCTTTATGACCCTGTCTATCTCTACTGCAATGATGTTCGGTTTTTCTAAACCATTCTGTTTTGCTTACTAATGTGAACTATATTATCTTCTGTTAGTTTATATCATTTGGTAGTTAGGATAGAAATTAAGGATGTTTAGGTGTGGACAATTGGTAGTTAAATGTCACAAGGAACTTAAGCATTGGTCCATAATCCAATCATTAATGATGTACAAATATTTTTTACTGATTCACTGCTATTTTTTTCTCTGTTTTTAAAGGGAAATTGTTACTATGATCGTATATATATCCTGGCGATTGTATTGCTGTTCCTTTCACTTCACAAAACAGATAAGAGTATCTTTTAACAGTACCTGAAAGCCTTATGTTTTTATGGTCGATTTTGATTCCTTACTTTGGATTCATAATTAAAAGATTCATGCATTCCAGTAATAGGCATATGATATAGTTCCTAGAGATTTATTGTGTCTTCTAATAGTTATGTATGATAGTGTAATTAATATTAGAGTTAAGTGTGTCTTCTAGTAATAGGCATACGGTATATTTCCTAGAGATTTATTGTGTCTTCTAATAGTTATGTATGATAGTATAATTAATATTAAAATTAAGTGTGTCTATTGACTTTCCTATTAATATAGTCATGATTTGTTTATCTTTTTCACATTGGTAATAGACAAACTTCATAGTTGTATGTAGGATAATTACTATATATTTTATTTGCTGATTCTATTATCTTAGTTGATGAGAGTTTAAACTAAATTAATTCTAATCCTGAATCATGGAGACAAATCCCAAAAATAAACAAATTATATTTATCAAAATTCACATTGAATATATGTGATATAATTTTAGAAATATCAGGAGTAGACTTGCGGTTATAGTTAAATTGGATGGATAAGTTTTGTCAAGTAAAAAATTTGAAGTATCTTAGATAAATTATTCAACAAGATGAAGACATTGTTGAAGATATTATTTATAAAGTGAGGGTTAAAATAAAAAGGGACATTTTGAGTTTTATATGATCATTGAATACCTCTTAGATTAAAAGAAAAATGTATAAAATGTTAGATTAGCTATGCTTTATGGACCTGAGTATTAGACAATTAAGAAATAAATACACAAAATATTAGATTAGCTATGCTTTATGGACCTGAGTTTAGGCAATTAAGAAATAAATATACAAAATGTTTATGTTGTTGAGATGAAAATGTTAAGGTGAATGTATGAAGTTATTAAAAAGATAAAAAAAAATATTGTTATTTGTGAATAACTAGGTATCATCTTGATAGAGAAAAAGATAATGAAGGATTCTTTAAAGTTATATGGATATGTGCTAAAAAGACTTACAGATGTTGTAATTAGAAGAGGTAAATAGTTGGGATATTATGACTTGTTGTGTTTGTTTTCTTGTAATCTTACTTTCTGCTGGTCTTGGAGGATTGAGAAGAGAGAAATGGATGGTACCTGGTAACCAATCCATGGTTGTAGGAAATTTTTAATTCCAACACCTTTAGTAGTTCTTTGTTCAAATCTGATGTTGTATTTTGCTGGTAAGATTTTTGGTTATGGCCATTCTCCACCCTTAAATGCTCAATATAACAATCAAACTTACAATGGCTAGTTCATTAATTGGTTCATGTTCTAGTTGCCATTTTCTAGCATTTCTAAGCTTTTCAATCAGACACTTAAGTTCATCTCATCAAAATATGTTTGATCAAACCCTAGTTTTTATTAATTCTTGATTTTGATTCAGACTCAACTTATATGCCCTGCTATTGGGCTCACATTAATCTGTTGGGGCATTGGCATTTTCAATTCCTTTTTCAATAAATTAAATATGTAAGCCTCATTTTTATCTCTGAGGATTTTTGTCTTGTCCTATTTGTTCTTGGTTCATTATTCTAGCAGTTGGTCCAGCTGAAAGCCTGAAAGAAGTCCTTTCAGTTAGAACTTGGATTTCTGTGCCATTTCTTAGATTCTCATTTCTTTTTGTTTATTTTTTCTGATTTGGCCTTCCAGATACTGATTTTTCCTAGTTCAGTTGCTACAATCCTTGATTTAGATCTTTGATTATCTTCCTGTATCTGTTGGCTCTTGTAGTTGTTGAAATATCTCTTTTATTAGTTTACCTTGACTTATATACTCACTTCCTTTAGCTTACCTGAGGAATTCAACACTTCAAAATTTATTGCTTTTGTTGTTTGCCATGTTTATGTTAGCTTCTTCTTAGTTACACAATATATCCTGAGGACAAGGTTATCTATGTGAGACCACTTGTCTAAATGACTTGTGATGAATGATGAAAATATTTTTATTTCTTTGTTTTTTAAATAATTTACTGCTGGCAAAGTAGAATCAATACTTTAAGATAGCATCAAATACTATAAAAGTTCTGTGACTTGGTCTTAAAATAGGTGCTGGACTATCTGCAGTTAAAATTGACAATGGTTAGTCTTCTTTGACTTTTTGAGCTTTATGGTACTTTCATTATGAGAACAAAAAGATCATTATGTTAATTGGTCACCACACATCTATCTTTACATTTTTAAAGTTGCAACTCATGTATTTCAAATCATTACCTTAACTGGTCACTACACATCTATCTTTACATTTTTAAAGTTGCAACTCATGTATTTCATTGCCACTGTATGACTTTTATTATGAGTCAAAATTGTCACTGGAAATGATGCCATATACTTAGTGTATACAAAACATACCATGTTATAAAGATGTTGTTGTAGTGATGAGTGATGACCATGGAGTATCAATTTATCATAGCTATTGAAATTTGTGTGTTGTATGATTTGGTCATGTACAGTATTTATTGTTGTTTTGTGCTCTTTGATACATTGCTCAATAGTAAAAGACATTGAAATGTGCAGATAATTTGTTGCTTACAACAAATCAGAAGAATGTGAAGCTTATCGATTTTGGACTTGCAAGAGAAGAAACAGTGACTGAGATGATGACTGCCGAAACTGGGACTTACAGATGGATGGCTCCTGAGGTGAGACATAATTGATTTTGTTGGTTATCATGTATTTGTTACCTGCCTAACTTCTTTTTTCTTTTTGGGTGGGGGGTGGGGGGATGATCTGTTTGGGTTATTTAGACATGAACATGTAGTTTACCTAGCAAATATGAGGATGCAATAGGGGATGTTGTATTTGAAAGTTTTATTTCCTTCCAAGAACTGCAACTGTAGTTACCATACTATCATGATCTAGATGAGATGCCATGAAGAATGTCATTAACAACTTACAAAGTTGAACCTGACTTATTGTATCATTTCTTGAATTCATAAGTGACATATAAGATTCCTATTTTTAATATTTTTAAACTCTTTGTGAATTTTTTAATCTACTCTTAGGAAGTTGCTGGGGTGAGTTCCTTTAGTGGTTGGCCCAAAGACCATCAAACCATTGAAACATTGCTGATAATACTCGTATTTTTTGGCTTCCACAATTTGTCTTTAATCCTTTTAGATCTCATATAATGTAGGTAAATGAACTAAGAAACTAATTTTGGTGCATATGGCTTGCTTATGTTTAATAGATATCCTAAATGTAGCTCGGAGAAATGAGCAACTTAGAAGTATGGAGATTGGCATTTCTGTATTCAATTTGAAGTTTGTTTTTTGCAAATTTGTTCCTAAGGTCTTGTATTATCTTCTTGGATATAAGCACATCTGTGCATGTAAGAAGGATACTGTTATATTCCTTCATGCACGAGAAGTTGCTTGTACTTTGCTAGGAACTGTTTGTTCGTGTTATAGTTAAATCTAAATTGCAAAGTATGATATGTAATTTCGAATGATACCGCCTGGTACCGGCAGTACATATCGGTTCGACGGCATACCGGTACGCTGACCGCCCGCTACCGGACGGACCGTGCTACAGTGCTACCGTGTTATACTGTAGCAGTGCTACAGTGATAGGAAAAATCGTTCGGTAAATCTTGATGTACCGCTCGGTACGCCAATACCGTACCATTCCGAGCTAACTTCGAAACACCGGTACGATATGATATTGCATATCTTAAAGTTATGGTTAAAAAATGCTTTTGATGCCAAAGCTTTAAAGTTCAGTTGAGTTGCTTCATCAATTATTCTCAAACTTCATTAGTGTAATCCTTTAATTATTTCCTTAGCTCTCCTGACTTGTTGTTCTGCTGCAGTTATATAGTACTGTTACACTGCATCGTGGTGAGAAGAAGCACTACACAAACAAGGTTGATGTTTACAGCTTTGGCATTGTTTTGTGGGAGTTGCTAACCAACCGAATGCCATTTGAAGGAATGTCAAATCTGCAAGCTGCATATGCCGCTGCTTTTAAAGTTAGTATCTGCTTTTGATTTCCTTCTTAATTTGTTGCTATCTTTGATAGAGTCCAGTTTCATAATATGTTAGATTGCTATGTGAAAAATGAAAGGTGCAGAGTGCACAATTGAAAAAGTAGCTAGATTTGTTGTACTTGTATAAAGTAACTGAATTTGTTGTACTACCTATGAAAGTAATTAGATAGGATTTATCGATGAAGGTAATTAGTCTTTCATTAATGAAAGACTTTTGCATTGTTCATCTCATTACATTTTGCATTGTACCGAACATTCAAAAAGTTTTTTTGTGCAACAAACAAATAATAAAGTCTTGGAATAATCGGAATTGACATACCCCATGAAAATTAGTTTCGTAAATCTTACCATTATATGTATAATGAAGAGGATTAATACTTTAATGATACTAAAGAATTATCCTAGTACCTGCTCAATCTTATGTATTATAAGATAGGGTTTATGCAGATACTAATATTGCAGATTGTATTAATATAGCAGATTGTAGAGTATTGTAGACCTCTGCTTCAACTATAGGTGCTGCTTCCATTTAAGTAATAATAATAGTCATACATGAAAAGTATTACTTGACTTGTCTGCTACAGAATTACTTTAATTATCTTTTAATGATAATGTAATATTTGTTGTTCTGGTCTACGTCTGTATTTCTATTGGCCATATCAGTCTGACCTTCAATGCTTCTGTTGTCAACCAAAAATGTTACAAATTTTATGTTTACATTTGTTGTCAACTTTGCAGTAAATAGGCATTTCTTGTGAGTTGCTTAAATCAATGCTGTTTTACTTCAGTACTTGTATGAGTTGTATGGCAATGACAATTTAGCTTGCTAATAAAGATTCAGGTGCATGCAGAGCCAGAAACACATGGAAAGACAAGTTTGACTTGTATAATTGGGAGGATCTGAAAAGCACTTAATAGATGAACAATGAGAAGATATGTTCAATTGCAATAGTAGTGAAAGTAGGGTGTATGTCAGATCTATTTATTGACAATAAGTGGTACAAGCATTATGAATCTCTGTGACCATATAACACTAATCAAAAGAGAGTGAGTTCAAGTGCTACAGCTTTATGAATCATTGTGACCATGTAACACTAATCAAAAGAGAGAGTGAGTTCAAGTGCTACAAGCTTTATGATTCTCTGTGACCATACAACGCTAATCACGTGAGAGAGTTCCAAGTGTTACGACCTTTCTGAATCTCTGTGAACTACTTTCCTGTAGTAACTTGGTAAATAAATAATCCACGTGTTTGGAGGATTGCTGACACTGATCCTTCAGGTGTTTGATTGTTGATTAGCAGGGACTATGTTGATGTAACTGATGGAATATGGATTAGTTGCCTTATTGTATGGTCACTGCCGTTTTGCTAGATATTAAAATGAAAACCCATTTAAGGTTGAATGTGCTTAGTGGATCAGAAAGTTAATTATCTTGGCCAGAGTTGTCACAAGTTGTTACTCGCAACAACTACTACAGTTAATTCTCTGCTGTGCAATTTATTTTTTATTTGTCTTCAAACAACTGGCTACTGACTTTGAGCTTGATCTTGTGTTCCTTTGAAGCAAATGCGCCCACCCCTGCCCGAGGATACTCCACCGGAGCTTGTGTTCATCGTGCAGTCATGCTGGGTGGAGGATCCGCATACACGGCCCACCTTCAGCCAGATTATTCGCATGCTAAATGCCGTCATTTGTACCCTCCCACCAGCACCAGCACCAGCACCACCAGAACAGGACACTGTTCCTGCTACGATGAGCACCAGAGGTACCATTACAACCACCACTTCCACACGCAGGGGAGGCAAGCTTTCTTTTCTTCGTCAGCTCTTTGCTGCGAAGAAGGAAGGTAAGAGTAGCACATAAGATAGTCGAGACTTATATTTTTGGTTCTGCCATGGGGTTGGCAGTGTAGATTACAAGTTATACCGGAAAATTCGGGCTTATGAAAACATTGTAAGAAAAATCAGTGAAGGAAGCAGTATACAAAAGCCACTCATAGCTAATTCTACTCTTCAGATTTTTCTCTTTGTTTCTGTGTTCAATTTTGCCTGATCATGGCAGCTAGTTGAGCGAGCAACTGGCACTACTTGTGTAGGTCTGTGACCAAGAACATTTGGTCACCCAGTTTTCGTGCTTTTCATTAATGCAGGCTCTGCAGCATGTTTCAGAGTCCATACGTCAACCAATGCATACCGATGCCAAATCATAAATATGCCGATTGAATCAGAATTGTCGTCGGAAGATGATATCCTGGCTGACATGACATGCAGGTTGGCCCGAGTGATTTTGTCGATTTGAGGATATTTTAGCCATGCTTTCGTAGAATACTCGTTGTCGCTAAAGATCCTGGTTCGACCATCGCTAGATTCACAGTGGATTACGCTGTTGAGTGAATCAAACGGAGATATGTAGCTGGACTGCTGCTGCGGTCTCTCACCAACATACTGTCGACTGAATCAAACGCGGGCGTCACACCATACCAATCCGATGAGAGACACCGGATGATCTTAATGATTTCACCAACATACTGACCTGTGTGTCATATGCTTTAGTTATCACATTAAGGAACCCAACACAAGTCATTATGTTCCCCCTTACCTGCTCCTATTTCCATCACCAAATCCACCCTATTCACTAAATCCCCCCCACCCCACAAGTCTCACCAAGAGCACAAAGATAAATATCTGTCCTACGTGCCTTGCATGATTCCCACACAGCCGAGGCGTCCGATCGATCACCAGTGAATTCCAGAAAGAGGAAATCATAGGTAATCCCTACGAGTTTTTCTTTCTTCTCATCCCCGTGGCGTCATTTTATTATCTGTCTATCTATCTTTACTGGTTTAGGCCAAAGAGATCAGTAGGGCTCTGACCATGATTCCAGAGCAGACCATATGAGTCGACCGTCGTACGGTACCGAGAGTTGGATAACGGAATGCGCCGGCTCGTCGATGCAGTCCCGGAGGCACCACTGCTGCCCAATGGAACAGAGCCGTATAGTGAAAGCGACGGTGGCGCTGACGACAACTATTTCAATACTAGTTTGCTCGTCATCCTAGCAACACTGCTTTGTACTCTGATATGCGTGCTTGGGTTGAATTCGATCATACGGTGCGCAATCCGGTGCAGCCACCGCCGTCACTTTGCTTTCGGAACTCCCGAGGCGGCAGTTGCCACCGGGCTCAAGAAGCGGGCAATCCGCCACATACCAATCGTCGTGTACGGACCGGAGGCTACCGTCACGGCGACTACTGAGTGCGCCATATGCCTAACTGGGTTTGCAAACGGAGAGAAGATTCGGGTGCTGCCCGAATGCTATCATGGATTCCATGTCAGGTGCATCGACACATGGCTTGCTTTGCAGTCAACGTGCCCGACTTGCCGACACTCTCTGCTGCTTGACAAAGCTGGGCCCGACGCTGGCGATCGGTTTCCACCGCCGGACGATGGCGTTGCGCTGAGATGAAGTGAGCTGACCGCGCGCGTGGCCAACTGAAGGGTCTCGCTGCACATTTCCTGTTGTTCGCTTGCCTCGAAGGACTTCATTATGTATGTAACTTGGAGAGCTCGCGAGTTTCTCGTGATCCCCCCCTTTTTTTACCTGTGTTTTAGTCTGGCAGGCTGGCTGATCAGGGAAATGGATCGTTGCATGGATGGATGGTACTTTTGCTTCCGTATATTATCTGTGCTATCTCCGATATCTTAGAATATCACTAGTAATTGGTGGACTAAATAATTATTTGACACTTTCCTCCAACGGAGCTGTTGAATCCATTCTCAAAGTCCTCCTTTTTGTGTTTTCCAAGGAAAACCCAAGTAGTTCAATACATAAAAGAAAATTATGTGATGAGAGTAATAATTGTGATAAGACTCACGTGACATCAGCTGCATCAGGTGACGCATCTCGCCTCTGTCAACTTGATGAGCCACCCGGTCAACGCGAACCGAAACGCCTATCAAGGCACATTAATACCCTGCTCAGGCTCGATCCCTCACGCCACGCCAACGGCAATGTCAGACGCTACCAGAAGTACGATCCTACTCCATGCAGGCAGGCACATCATGCAACGATAATTCTTACTATAAAAACCCTTACGCTCTGAGGAGAAAAGGGGGAGGATGGAGCTAAAGAAACCCCCCTCACCATTCACTAACTTGATCGTCGGAGGAGTCGGGTCGAGCCCCCCGACCCGACCTTTGTGCAGGTGCAAAGGCCGAGGTCTCCCGCTAAACACCTAGATGAGGAGCCCCTTTCCGGAGGAAACGACGACCCCGTCCCGATCGGACCACCGTAATTGGCCACCTCAGTAATCTCGAGAAACGTACCAAGGAGATCCCCCATCATTCGGATCCGAACCAAGCCGCGTCGGCCCCGAGGCCACGGCTTAAAGTTGTTTACACTAACATTACGTGAGTGCAATTTAGGTTCGATGATATGCAATCGAGCAAAGAGCCCTCAAAAGTGGCGTCACTAGTAACAGTCGCAATCAATTTAGGGTCGAGATATTAAGAGAGAAGAGAGTTGTGTTTAATTAAGTTCAGTGAAAAATAAAAATGATTGCTCCATAGAATAGAAAGCAACCTTTAAATTGCTTCGCAAGTCTCCATTCTTATTACTAAGCCGAAGCTATATACTTAGCACCGTGATTTTCCCACCGCCTGATTTTTAATTCTAATTCCCTCTTTAGCTTATTTTCTTTTTTTTTACATGATTTAGTTGTGATTAAAGAATTAAATTTGATTCCTCTCTAACACTTTACAATAAAGTGTATTTCCCCTCTAATCAAAACAAAACAGGATACTAATATGACAATAAAATAAAAATTACTTATTTATTTATTCTAATATCTGCTTAAGTGTTTTGTTATTTGCTAAACAAGTTGAATTAAATATCGGGTTAGTATTTTGAAATAAATCTTTTATAATTATTATCATATTATTATTATTATTATTATTATTATTATTTGTTAATATTATAATTATTTCTTGATTGATTGTCCATGTAAATTTATAATTTGATTTGGATTTATAATCTACGTTGGACTTTTGAAATTTGTATTCTTTCATAATAGAAATTTGCAAAGATATACATAAAGTTGACCACATTGTATATATATATATATATATGTATATATATATATGTATATAT